CATTGTTGCTTACCGCTTGCCTTTTTAAAAAAAGCCAAGCGCCGTTCGGACTTACATGAAATAAGACTGCGAACATAACGACTTAATTAATAACTATAATAGATCTTTGGATTGGTTTGGCTTCCTCAATTGCAACGATGCAACCATTCTACGTGATGTCATGTCCAATGTTTCCAAGGACATTCTAGAGTTTGTGCCGCGTAGATATCTCAAGCCTAATTCTTCAGATTCCCTTGTTTCTCATTTTCTTCAGAACGGACTAAAAAAGTTGAGGGGACAACTGTGTGACCTATCCACAAGTTCCTTATCAGTTCATCTTAGAATCACAGAGATTTTTGAGATGGCCTCAAGGATGCGCCAAGCGCGCGAGAGGCAAAGAGAATCAATTGCTCTCAGTGGTTCGAACCCTGGCAAATCCGTCGCTAACATCTTCCGTCATCGGTCCTCCTCTAAGCGTGGTCATGAACTTTCACCCATGCTAAATGATAACAAAGTCTTCCTCACCGATGACACTGACAAGGCGGAGTTGTTAACTGCTTTCTTTGCAAAACACCTTGCTACCGAGTCCGATCCGGTCCCTTTCTTTCTACCACTTTCAGATAGGACACTTAGTACAATCGATGTCTCCTCAGATCTCATTAAGAAACACATAGGCCGTTTGAAATACTCACACTACTCTGGAACGGACGGGATTCCGAATTCGATTATTAAACAAGCGTCCGACTTTCCCATATTGCTCAGTCATTTATTCTCTGTTTATATTTCGAAAGGATTCTTTCCTGAAACATGGAAAACGTCAATTATCATTCCCGTTTTCAAGTCAGGATCTCGGTCCGATGTTAATAACTATCGGGGTGTGCACAAAACGCCGTCTCTAGCAAGAGTTCTTGAAAGGATTATTTTCAATGAAATTCTCGACTTCTGTCTAGCTAATCAGCTTCTGAGCTCTAGTCAGCATGGATTTCTACCTAAACGATCCTGCGAAACTTGCCACTTGACATTTATTGATCTAATCACTTCGCTTCG